CCCTCTTTCTTCCAAGCTTTTACTTCCCCTCTGCCTGACATCTTTTTCACACAATGCCTGAAAAGCATATTTTTTTTTCTAGTAGCCTAAGCAGCTGCTCTGTCCCTCCTGTGCTTGGCTTTCTGTCACTGGTTTTTAGAGTCCCACCAGTTCCCACCACCAGCACCTGACTCTCAAGAGCTATATTCTGGGTTGTGTCAGTCAGGACAGGCTGCTTCCTGGCTATTTATCTTGTTTTCCCTTGTGTTTGTGTTTGCAAGAGGCAGGTACAGCTTTTGCGCTGCAAGAGCAGGTAGAATGTTTGGAGAGATGACTCCTTTGAGCTGGGAGTTTAGTGGCTTGTGCCAATGCCAGAGATGGAAGAGGGAAGAGGTCTCCATCTGAGGGATAATGCACTTTGAATAAACAGGATGGAAAAACAGATCTGGATCTAAATAAAGGGGACAAATGACATCCTTATTTGGGATATTATTCTGACATAGGAACATGGTGCTGTCAAGAGAGCCCAAAGCCAACAACTGCTGCTCAGAGCATGGACGCACTGGAGAGCCCACAGATAAGTTATGTGAAGTACACTCTACAGCCACTGGTCAGCAACTACTTGCATAGAGAAAGGCAGTCTTCATTAAGTCTCACTTAATGTGCATACTCATCCATTACTCGTCTAAGTGCTTGTTACACCAGAACAGCCTTACAGCTGTGCTTGTAGAGACACCAGTGTGAAATGCAGTAACATGTGCAACTATCTTTACCCATAAAAAAAGGGTTTCAACAAAAGCCAGAATAGTCTGTTCTTCACTGAACCAGTTTCTTACAAATTCTGTCCACCCTGCCATCTGCACAAAAAACCACAATCAACAAAGTCATGGACAGATAAACTACACGTGTGGAAACATGGTTCACTGCTGCTCACTGACAAACTCCTACCACTGGCTAAACTCACTAACAGCCACCAAAACACAGATGTCTGTCAAATGGCCCAAGAGTGAACGGATAGTGATGACAAGAAAAGAGGTTAGTGGTATGAAAAAAGATATTTTGTTCTTATAGCTTCCCTACTGAAGAATGTTTAATGTTGTGTTCATCCACTGTGCTCAGCATCTTGATGGTTTAAAGTACAAACAAAACGGGAGTGAACATTTTTGGCTAATATGTGATTTTGTCACAAGGGCAAAGCTAAGAGTGATTTGGCAGGCAGCAAGCACGCTGTTTTCTTTGAACACACATGCATTGAACAGGACTACATAAAAACTGTTTTGCCTAAACAGCTTGCTTCTGAGATAGTAGAATTCCATCTGTGTGTACAATGCACATTCGGATATGCTGACACACCGGAGTACACCCTAACTTAATGACTATGTGCATTGCTGGTGTTAGTTCTGAGACAAGCCTAGCTGTGACTCCATGCAGAGATTTCCTGTTGGAATTTCCTCAATGTTTTTTGTACTATGAAATATGAAGAAAAGATTGTAATCAACCATGACTTAAAATCCAGAGCTGCAGTTTTTATTCATATGATCAGAAATGAAATATCTGATCAGAAATAAAATATTTCATCAGAAATAAAATATTTATGTTTTACTACTAAAGGTACTCATGCAGATACAGATAATTTCTTCTCAATCCACATTTTAGATGTGTTGAAGTATCAGTTTTGAAAAATAATTTATGACTCTATAACAGCCAGTAGAAAATAGAAGAATAATTCTTTGGTTGTGATTATTCTGTTAAACTCTGCTGTGGCTGTGGGTTGCGCTTGAAGATCTGACTGTCTAGTTTTCTTGCTGGGAAGGTAAGAAAATCTGTTGTTGTCTTAATTCCTAGGCAGGGTACTGAAGACTATGTGAAAGGTTTTCAGACGCAGCAAACTAGTTGCAAATGACTTAACTTGGGGATAATTATTGCAGAGTGCCTTAGAAGACACGATTTTCTGAGAAGATTGAGCACCAACTGCTGAACGTAAGGAAAGCAGTGGAAATTGCAGTTAATTGAAACCTAGTTACTTGTTACTTGGCTGCATTAATGCAGCATCCATTTGTGAAGTGTTGCAATACAGATAAACTGCAGAAACATTCACATTTTGATGCTTTCAAAGGGACAAGCAGATAGCTGAAAGGCTAAAAAAACCTAAAACATCAGAACTAGGCATCTGAAGCCAAAGAAAATATTGTTTTCTTCAAACATGGAAAGAATAATCTGCCAACGAGAGCAAGTTTCCTGGTTTCTTTACAAGCAATAGCAACATATCAAGTTAGCTATGGGGAAGGAGGCAGTTAAGATTGTCACCGATGTACTGATTTACTGTCAGATGAGCCACAATCATAGCACTTAAATACAATAAAATTATTTCAAGACCAAAATGAATTCTGCTGCTCACCTAACTTCTGCCAGACTAGTTTGCTCCTAAAAATTCAGAGCCAGAAAATACTAATTGTTTAGGAAGTAGTTTTCCAAAGCATCTACTGACTAGGAACACAAGTCTAAGCCATTTGGTGTCCTGCTTTTAGCAACAACTCATTTGTCAGCTAACAGGTTCTACATCAGAAAAGAGACTCTCAAACTTCCTCAGTGGGACCATTTTTATCTAGTTTTTGCTCAAACTGATTAACTGGTTTTCACCACAAACCAATTCTTGCTCACAGACGGTGACTCTTCAACAAGGCAGTTAAGCATGTGCTTAATTCATCAACCTCAACAGGGAATAAGCTAGCACATGTTTAAAATGAAGACAAAACACATGCTTGAATCTCCCACTGACTTGCCCCTGAGTGCTGTCATTGGGGTGAGATCCTTTGAGTCCTCCATTCAACAGGAGCTTGAACCTCTGCTTTTCTTGCAGAATTGAATACAACAAGAGCTGCCAGGATGCCTTCATAGTCACTTCTCTGCAGCTCAATCAGTCCCTCCTGACTCCTGCGTCCTGTCACATCTCACCTCTGCACCACGTCAAGCATTCCCCTGTGGCTAAGGAGGGCAGGCCTGTGCTAGAGGCAGTATCGGCAATTCATGACAGATGACAAACACAGGTCAACAAGCTCTCTGTCTACACAATCTACAGGCAGGAGCACACATCAGATGACCTGCAGGCATGTGGGTGTGGGTGTGCAGGTCTTGGGGGGAGAGTCCCCTCACGCATCCTCGCACGCAGGTTACCTCTTGCTTGTCATGGTTACACTTCTCGCACATGGCCGGCGAGGAGTAATGATGGAAGACGGAGCCCGATAGGTTATCGATGATCATTAACTCCCCGTCGAAGGAGTCCTTAATAATTAAAGAGACACTGTCCAGCCATAAGTTCTCCTAGGGGACAAGAAAGGGGGGAGGATGGGAGAGATCATTTTAAGAATGCTGAGCTTTTTGCTTCAAAGTTTCATGTGAATTTGGGGCTGGGTTCTCCACCCTGACTCATCTGGAGCAGCACCTTGTTCTGCAGGTACCTGCACAGGGTCACTGGGGGAACATCTGCTCCTTAGCATGTGTAAAGGTGCCAGAGTTCAATGAAAAAAAAAAGGAGGGTCTGTCTTCACTCACTGTCAGTGCACCACAGCACTGCTCACACCTCCTCTCCAGCTCTGCTGGAAAGCCTCACTCTTTGATCTGACATTTCTCCTACTCTCTTCTCCTAAGCTCCCCTCTCAAATTTGCTCCTAACACACCCTTAGCTGATCTGCTCCATTCCTCCTCTGCTGGCCCTCATGTTCCTACACCATGACGATGATGAACAGGACCCACTGCTGTCACAGCCTTGTCCCCACATGATGCTACCAACTCAAAAGTCTACCCTGAAAGCAAACCTCTTACCCTGAGGTGGAAGCTCTATCTGCTACTTCTAAGCCTTCAGTCATCTAGGCTGCCTAGCTTCTGCCCACAGCTACTTGCTACAGTCTACTTGGTAAGCTCAAAGGTATACTCACCTGTGCTGGAGAGTAACACCTCATGCACAGACGTCCTTCAGGATCTGTTTTCCCACTGCCTCCTCCTGTTCCTGCTCCTTTTCCCTGTCCTGAATTCGGGGAGCCTGACTTGCGGGAGCATAGCCCATGTGTAAATTCCAGCTCAATCTCAGCGTCCATCTCTGCATCCTCCTGGGCTTCCTTGTTGCTGTCATCAAGATGTTTCATGAGCACAGCTACCACCACGTTGATGAGGACAAACTGGGCTGTGAGCACAAAGCTGACAAAGTACAGTGGGGAGATGAACTGCAGGTTGCTGAGGCAGCTCCGGTCATCGTGGCTGCAGTCACGCAAAGTGTCCTTCAGGGAAAGTTGGGTTTGAGAGGGAATGATGGAAGGAAGGAAGGACTAAAGTAAGAATACAAACTTGGCTGCTCTTTGTGTCAAAAAACACTGATGCCCATGGAAAGAACAAGGTGAACTTTTCTATCATCCCACACCCTCTGGGATCATAAGGTCTTCAAAGAAACCCGGACACTATCTGGCCATATGTTTCCTGCTTCAGAGTAAATATGTTCAAAGGTGTACAGAGCAAACAACTTCCAGACCATCACATGTTGCTGTCACTGTAACCCCACACATGTGAACAAGAGCAAAAATGAGCCATCTGGCACTTCCTTCTCTCTTCCAGACTCAAAAGCACCATATGTGTTCAAAGAACTTTACTCTGTGTCCTTTGAAGGAAGTAAGTTTTATTTTGGATTGCCCTGGTGGCTCTGCAGATGGGCCCCATGTCGACTGAATCTACATTCAGCTTTGGTAATAGGCCTTATAATAGTAGATGTTCCCTCTTAGCCTGGCCAGCCTTCTTATTCCTTCCAAGAAGAATTTGCACTTTTCTCAGCCAGATGACTGGCTAGAGGACTAGATGAGGCCAAGGTCTGAGTTACCATGGTGGGAAGGGAGATCCTGGCCCAAGCAGGACCTTATCTAGCAACCCAGCTTCTGTGCTCCTTCCCTTTTCTAGCCCAAGCACTGCTGAACAGAGCACATATCAGAATTTCTCCTTCCCCACAATAAGGACATCCACATCCCTGAGGCTCAGTTACCTTCATGATCCCGTTCCAGTTGTCACCCGTGGACTTTGAAGAGCGTGAGGAAGGCCATCCCGAAGTTCTCAAAGGTGGCGTGACGGCTCATGCCCTCACAGGGATTCTCATCATTGCATACTGAAAGGAAGGGTTCGCAGCTGTCAGAGAGGACACACTGCCAGCCCCAAGATCAACAGCAGGAAGTGGGAAAGAGGTCTTCAGGATTCTTACAGCCTGGAGACCTCAGGTAATGTCATCAGCACCCTGCCCAACAGTTGGGTTTTGCACAGCAATACAAAAAAATCCCTGATGGTCCAGCCCCAGGATACCAGGCAGTGTAACTCGGTTGCTCAGGGGTATCCTCCCAATGTGTCATTGTACTGCATTTCTTCTTGATCTATGTTCCATGGCACGAGACGTAAATAAACTTTCCCTGAGTTTTTCTTGTACTCTTGAAGGCAGTATCAAGGCAGGCAGTGCAGAAAGAGCAAAAGTTTAAGAAAGCAAGAGAAGCCAGGCACTGCCTTTAGTTTGTTAGGCCAATAACTATTTAGAGGGATATTCCTTTTACATCAATTACACACAAGAAAGAATAAAGGCCACCAAGTAATTCAGTGCCTTTATTGAATGAATGCTGATTTTCAGAAACCTTAGCTTCCCAGCACACCTGTTGCTTACACTGGAGCATGGTCTGCTTGAGACTTACCCAGTTTTCCAAAGAGTTCCACTCCTAAAGCAGCGTAGATGAAAAAGAGGAGCATGAAAAGGAGTCCAAGGTTTCCCACCTGAAAGCAAATGGCACAGTCAGCCTACCCCAAAGCTTGTTTCATCTGTACAGGCAGGTGTTTTTGTCTTTCAAAGCCTGAAGAGAACAGCAGCAAATTGCCAGTGTACAAAATCCAGCCAAACAATTCCTCAGCACCTGGGGAATCACCAGTGATGGCATCAGTTGCAACCGGACTTGAAGGATGCTCTTTTCCCAGTTGCCTCCACTCCAGCACAAGCTGGCCAGGGCTGACTAAAGTGTGCAGTATCTGAGCCAGGTGAAGACAAGCACATTGGTGCAGGAGCACAGAAGGTGAAGCCATTTTGGCTGAGTGAAGGACAAGCTATGGATTACAGCATACAGACATGATCTGCAGTGCTACACGCTCCACCAAAAATGCCTAAGTCCCTTGAAGTTATGCTTATGTGAAAAGTGCAACAGAAGTGCTCCAAAGAGACAGTGACACAGGTATAACAGCTCCTGCTATGAACCAGGCAGAGCATGGTGGGGCAAGGCACCAGCTATGTGTGGAGATCACAGCAGGGCTTGTAAAACGAGTAGGCAGGTGGGCAGGAAGGGGGGTAAAGAGGTACTCTTGAAATGTGTGGAGAAGAAGAGAAGAGAGGAGACTGGAGGAGTCAAGAAGCAGAGCTTCCTTTGCATCTCATGAATAATAGGTCAAAGCCTGATTTCTGGGCCTCCAGCAGCTGCTGTTTGTAAACCTCTCCCACAACGCAAGGATTGTTGCTTTGTGGTGCACAAAGGCAGCAGTGCCACCAGCAATATTGGCGCTGTCCCCAGGTCCTCACTCTCCCAGATCACTGCTTGCCTCTGAATCTCCTGCCTCCCAGTATGTTGGGTAGCCAGGGGCAGCAAGAGGGGGTTTTGAAAGGGGTAGGCTGAAGAGTAACAGAAAATGGCAGTAATGGTTAGCACACTGTTGGTGGAGCAATAGAAGGCAGAGAAAAATTAAGGACCTAACAGTTAAATGAGTGTTTTTGAAAAACTGAACAATGTCTGGTCATTGTCTGAATGCAGGTCGTCATTGTGCCTGTGTTAGGATCATCCACTGCAGGAGTCTAATTTAGTCATTGCAACTGCTGCGCCATCCAAATTCAGAAGAAAGATAAATGATTCAGCCTAGGACCAGAGCAGGTCTCAGAGGCTTGAACTGAGGTCCCAGGTGTGCTTTTTGCCATCTTGAGCAAAACACTTCACTGCCTGAGACTCAGTTTCTCCATTTTCATGACAGGGATATGAACATTTCCTCCTCTCTTCTTTATTCTCTGTATTTTGGGGATAGAAGTTGATTCTCACCATTTAAGTGCAAATGTACTGCAAAGTCCTCTTACCAATGGCAAGCCAGCTCTTAATATCTGTGTGCATTTATCTGGGTTGCAGAATAAACATGGCACAGACATGCAGATGCTGGATCTGGAGACCTGTTCAGTTCCAGATCCTCACCTGAGAAAAATCAGCTGTTGTGGCTTCTGGAACAGAAAAGAGCCAGGTGCAAAGGAGCTGCACTGAGCCAGCCTGGGGCAGCAGAGCCAGAACTAACAACATTACTGTCCCAAAGCTGCCTGCTGTAAGAACACCATTAATCTCCTGTTCCTTCAATGGCCAGTGTATATATTCCACATATGAATTATGTAATTATTATTTTTAGACAAAATCACAAATTATTATTGTTTAATAAAAAGCATGGGAGATGAGAGCTCAGGATCCATAAAAGATCACAGTGTTTGCCCCTTGCTTTTGTGCCACGAGATTTGTCTAATTCAGATTGACATTTATGGTCACCAACATCAGAAGTAAACTCCTTGGGTAACTCCTCATGCTGTTTTCAGATTGATTCTCAGCTCTGCATCACTCCCTGAGATTGGCACATTAGCTGATAAATCAACTGACAAATGCCCGTGTATTTTGATATCATGCAATATAGTTGCTTGCTCGCGGCCTGCCAGGGGAATGGTCTGATGTATGATCAGTAGAGCCACTTGGTGTCATTACTCCTTGTTTAACAGTTCTCTCTCAAGAATGCGGAAGGAAGGGGACCAGTTTCCCCAGCTGTTCAACCATCACAGAGGATCCTCACAGTGGGCTTGAAGTCTGTGTAAAGCACCATGTCAGCATCTCATTCAGGAACAGCTGCCACTCACAGCTCATGAAATCCTTCTGTCTAGCTGTCTTGCAGTAGACACTTAACTGCCGGCTGCGTGAGCCACAACAGAGCGCGTCACTGCTTCTCATACATGAGAGGCTCAGAAACACAAAGGGATCCAGGAGGATAGAGAAAGAAAGTAGAAAGGCAGAGGCACTGGCTAAGAAAAGGAGTGACATGAGTGCGAATGAAAGAGAGGGGAGGAAAGGGAGCACATGCGGAAAAAGGAGAACGGTTCAGAGATGCAAAGACATCTTTTTCCTCCTGATATGGCTGCCAGTTTAGGGAGAGGAAAAAGAGAGGGGGGGGTTTAGCCACAAGCAGTTAGAAACTAGCTACATGTGATGGGAAAAAAACCCCTGTCCTTAACCAGGAATTGAGCTTCATGTCATTCACCCACTGGAGAACACAAATGGGAGGTGATCTGCACTCCTGTGGTTGCCATGATAACTTGGGCAACACCTGTATCAGAAGACCTGTACCTCTATGAATGACATGAAAACTTGGACATCACCTTCAGGCAGTTGCCTATACAACACGGTAGACATCACCTCTGGGCCTCCACAAGAATCAACCCTTTTGAAGAAGGGTGCAGAAAAGGAGAACTGTTAGGAGAGCTGGTCTGTTTTACCTGTGGCAGGGCTTGAACAACTGTATCCAGCAGTGCTCGCATTCCTGTGGCCATCTTCAGTAGCTTCAGGACTGCCACAACAAGCACAAGAGAAGTGTCACTCAGACTGAACTCAGGAGGTCCATCCTTTGTGTGACTTACTAATAACACAAGTCCTGTCTCCCCTTGCCCTAGAACAAATTGATTGTCCCCGTTATCCCTCTTCTCCCTTTTCCCTTCTTTTGACTGTACACCCCCGGTGGTTCTTTCTCCTCCAGTCCACCTCTTTCTTACTAAATACTCTGGTTTTCCACCCATGGCTATCGGGCTTCTTTTGCTCTACCCACAGTCTGGTCAAGAGCCCTCTTTCTCCCAGAAATCTGTATTGCACAATTCTCCATCTGCTCTGATGCCATCACTTTCTCTTCTACCAGCTACCAACTATTAAGGCAGCTTAGCACACCTTTACCACCACCAGGAAGATTCCATCCCCTCCCTGTGCAAATTTCAACCTACTTGGTGACCTCTTCTCCAAACACCTGTGCCATACTTGTCTCATAAAAGAATAATAGGGAAAGTTCAGCTCTCACATGATCTGCTCACCCTCCTGTCATTCAAGTCCTGTTAAAACCACTGCCTCTAAATGCCTGGCTAAGGGAAGCCAGAAAGCCTTAGCCTCTAGGCAGTCCTTTGTCACATCCCCTGCCTGCTTCCCTCCCAGGGCTAGAGACAGACCTAGCCTTGACTATATAGCCGCTGCTCAATGAGTCATGGCACCAAGTCCCACTCCACGACCACCTACACCCCTGCCTCTTGCCAGTGTCTTTCTCACCCCGTGCGATACGCAGCACCCTCATGATCCGGATGATAGTAGGGTTAATTGGGAGGGCAGCGTTGATTTCAATCTCTTCCAATGTGATGCCCATGACAGATAGCAGCACAATGGCCAAATCTAGCTGGTTCCACCTTAAGAAATAAAAATTAAGAGAATAAAGGAAGATAGAGATTTTCCATTTCTCTGAAAAAGAAAGTGAATTTTCTCCACTTCAACCTAAATATTTCTTTATGCATGAGTTCAATGCCCCACTCTGAGTCAGCCTATACAGGCTTTTGCAGACAAACAGAGACTTACTTTGCACACCCCTGAGCAGCCAGAGGCAAGCCAGGCTGATCTGAAAGCATGGAGCTGTGTTACTATGGTGCTATGCTTTGACTAATGGGCTCAGCTTCTTACAGCCTTACTACCTCGAATCAGCTTCGTGATATACATTCTGCTTCAGCATGCTCCCAGTTTGCCTCAAGGGCAGGAAAAAATGGCTCTCTCTAACCCCACCTCTTCTGCTTTCTAGCCTAACCAACAGGTGCCAACCAAGAGACAATTTTTGGACAACTCTTGCTATTGCCTAGGCAATGCAGCTCATGTGGGCCAATGCTAGGTCCATGCTGTGCAGAACTGAGAGGCAGTCAGGACACCGCTACCCACTCACACTCCGGATGGGGATCCAGTTGTCCCACAGCCACAGCTGATGTAGCCCTCTGCTCACCTGTCTTTGAAGAATCGCCGCAGACCAAATGCCACCAGCTTGAGGACTGCCTCCAAGACAAAGACAGTGGTGAACAGGTAGTTGCAGTACTTAAGAGCCGTCTCCAGGGACTGCCAACAGAAAGAAAGAGGAAAGAATTAAGGCAAAAGCAACATGAAGCACATAACCTCTGGGAGGACTCTCCTGAGCGCCAGGAATTCATTCAGAGGTGGTGAAGCTGCCCCATACCTCCCACCTATTTGAATGTGGAGGTTGCCAACTAAGGGCAGCTGCCAGCTGTCACCTCTGCCCCATGTTGTTCTCAGGATTGATTCTTGCTCCTTTCTCCTGTACTGCTCAGCATAACAGGGAGAAGGAAGCTATTGCAAGGTGAATCCACCAAGTACCATCAGCCTCTTCTTCTGCCAGTAGTTCATGCCAACTGGATGACACCATGTTAACAACGCTGATACAGCTATCAACCAGGAGTGAGGCACAAAGGTTACTCCAGTTGCAGATACATGTCATCTCTAACGGGAGGAAATCCCTCTGTGTCTTGGTCTGGAGCAGGAACATGTCCTATCTCTTAGCTGTTGGGCTTCTGGTTCTTTTATGTGCTGCCCCTTCTCCACCACCAAGGACCAGTGTGAGCAGTGGGCAGCATTTGGTGGCACTTTGTACTGGAAGGGTTTGAAGTGCTTTTGGAAGATTCTTTAGCAGACACTGACAGCAGGCTGGCATGGCTGGACCTGCATTCCAGGGGAAAGAGCTGAGGAGTAATGAAGAGGATTGACTTGTTCAGGATCAGAGGCCTGATGTGAGGATGACAACAGATAGCAGTTGAGAGTTCCTGCAGAGTAAAACTGGGCACCATCAAGGGCAAGATAAAAGCTGGGCAGTTGGGCAAGATGGGAAAGAAACAGAGGAGCCTGGCAGTAGATTTGAACGAGGACAGATTCAGTTCCTGATCAAAGCCTGAGCTACCTTGGACAGCATCTGCTCAGACACAAGAGTTGTCGCCTAAACCAAGGGTCTCCTGAAGCAAAAGCTTAAATACCACTGGGCAGATATGATGATGAATACTTTGTCTCCATATTGAGGCAGAAAGCTCCTTTGATATGTACAGAATACTTTTTTTTCCATCAAAGACATCTGTATCTTTGCCAGGAACACTGGGAGGTACATGGTCTTCCCCATGGCCTTCAAGGCTCTTTACTGGGAATCACACCCTGTAGCTGAAAGAAGCTCTGCTCAGCACTTAGGCCCTGCAGCTTCTCTTATGGCAAAAATGTGGCTCGGTAAAGACATCTCTTCCCATGACACGCAACCAGCCACCGTGGTACTCTCAGCTCAGGCCATATGGCAGGTAAATTGGACCAACATTTGGAAATCTGGTGCAAAACCCAGAGCTCCAAGAACAGTGCTGCTTCATCACTCCTCCTGTTAGAATCCAGGGGAACAGAAAAAGCAGTCCAGGCAGCTATATTTGGATGACCCACATATCCAATTGATAATATAGAGCACAGAGACTTAATTGCACCATGCTTTCTAGGGGCCCAACTCTTGATTAGATGCCTTCTCGCTATTAATTTTAATGGATAACAAGTGTCTGAGTAGGGGCTATCTTTATGGATAGATATGAAACTCTTCACATAATTTGACCTACTAGATTAACTCCTGCAATTTTTAACAGTATTTTTTAGAGCCACTCAAGTGACCTGCCTACACTGGTGGTTATCAGACAGCAGTAGCAAAATAACATAATGACTAGAGGCAGGGCTTATCTCATGATCTCACTCACCACAGGTTGGTTGTAGTGCTCCAAGGACATAGTGACCACGTTGAGGCAGATGATGAAAGTGATGAAGATGTCCAGATAGTGGCTGGTGCAGACCGAATGAATAAGGAGGCGTATGGGGCAGTAGGTAGCATAGTACGGCAAACGCTGCGCCTCTTCAGTGGAAAGAGGGAGATGGGCAGAGTTAGGAAGAAATTGGAAGAAAGAGAGAAATATTGAGGAGGGAGCAGGCATAAGAGTGGTAATAGGTATTGAAAGGAAAGGGAATAAAGGTGGGATAGAGAAAGAACAGAAAAGGATAGGTAAAAGATAGGGGACACAGGAAGGAGGAAAAAAGTGCAAAAAAAAAAGAGAAAAGTAGAAGTGGGGAAAAATAAGTCAAGAAAAGACAAGAAAAGGAATGCTAGAAGGAAAATCTGTTAGTCTGTGTTTGTGGGAATGGTGCTAAATCAGCATTTCATGTCTTGACAAATTAAGATCACAAATGACAAAAGGGAGCAGATGGTTCCAGGAGAGGCCCCAGGTTCTCACAAGGAGAGGGAAAAACTGGAGCAGAGGAAGGGAAAGCATGCCCACAGGCTGTGAATGGAGGAAAACCATCAGTTTGGGGTAGTAGGGATGATTTCCAGGGGCACGTATGCTTGTGCAGTTTTTGTCTGAAGGTAATACAGAAGAGCATAGAAACACCAGGAAGAGGGCTTGCTTCACCACAGAGGGTCTGGGACCCCAATGAATGACACTACAACACTGATAGAAAAAGCCAGGAAGAAAACACAGGGGTCTTCTTCTTTTTTTCCCCTCCCTCTTCTTTATATTTCGGGTTAAACACAAAGGATGGTCTGTCCAGATCTTCCCCCTAACACCATCTGGGTTGTGCAGAAGTCCAGGTGGGACTATCCAAAGCCCAGGAGGTGTACCACTGCGTGTATGTCCTATTTTGACAGTGCATGCCAGCATCTGCACAGGGGTATTTTTGATACATGTTATCTCTCGAGGGGCTCAGTGTTAAAATGCCAGCAGCTTCCCCAGAGTCCCAGCAGACATTGCCAGGCACCCCTCTTCCCCAAACCACCCTGGTGAGGTGCATAGTGGCACGGCAGTGGCACGGCAGTGGCACGAGGAGGAAGGCTGAGCGCATGGCCACAAGCAATGCAATTCGGAGACCAGTCCATTGTGAAAGAAAAAGGAGAGGAGAAGGTTTTTCTTAGAAAACCTTGGCCTACGAACCAACCAAACACTTAGGCTGTGCCTTACTCCTTCGCTTCTTCTCCAGGCGGCGCAGACGCTTCTCCTCCCGCCGGCGTGCCTCCTCAGCCTCCTGGTGCTGCCGGCACTTGTGGAAGTTCTCCACCACCACCCCCACGAACATGTTGAGCACAAAGAAGCTGACAATGAGGAGGAAGGAGATGAAGTAGAGGAGCATCCAGGGGTTGTTGTTGGTCACAGGCTGGAGGAAGGAGGAGAACAGAGGCAGTTAATAGGTTGGATATGTGACAATATGGAAATGATGGAAATGGTACGTGCCACGGTAATTAGCTGCTGGGGAGGAACTATGGAAATCAGGGGAGTGGGCTGGGAAGAGCTGGGGCTACAGGCAAGGCAGTTTGTGATTGGTTGACTGGATTTTGGCGTCAGCTGGCAATTGATGGAATGCAAGGGAGTCCAGGCCCCATCTGTGCAGTCCCATCTGCACAGTCACCCATAATTCAGACACAATCCCACTTGCAGGTTGAGTACATCAGTATGTGTGTAAAGGGTACAACCTTTAGCAATATGTGGTAAAATGGGTGACCCAGGCACTGAGAAAACATTTGGCTCGAGGACAAATAGAGACCACATTCATACACCACCAAAACAGCAATGAGACTGGAACAGAAATGTCACACAGACTTGGAGATAAAGGAGGCCCTGACTTTGACTGGGGATAAAAGCCTACAAAGCCAACAGTGGTGCATCTTGTGCAGAGGTAAATGGAGCATCATCCCTGAGGTTCAAGCCTGTGGTACTGCACCCCATGGTAGGTGCCTACACTGGACACTATCAGGGTCACTGCATTAGCAGTAGAGGAATAGGGATGCAGTGGGCATCAACCCAACAGTCCCTGCTTTACAGGGTATTAAAATAACCATCTGTGGACCAGGAGAGAGGCAGCATGCCCAGAAAGGCACATGGCATTCTTGCTCTGTCATTACAAATAGATAAAGGCTTGCTGTGAGATCCAAACACAGTAGAAGGTGAGAATTACTACAAATACCCACTTGCATGGCCACAGCTGCACTTCCCAGCAGGGACCAGGCATGACCCTGACCCCTTGCAAATAGGTGAATAAAAGATTCAGAAGGGCCATGGAAGAGACTCCTGCTTTGAGGGAGGTGTTTGAAGCAGGACATTAAAGCATGCTTCTGCCCGAGGAAAGGAAAAAAAGGTCTTATCACAAGGAAGCCTTCGTACCTGCTGGTCAACAGCCACAGCGTCTAGTCCGTTATACATAATATTGACCCAGCCATCCTTGGAAGCCAGAACAAACAGGGACATCAGAGCCTGTAACATAAAAAGCAAAGCAGATGTGGAGCAGGTGCATCTGTCAGGCTGGGGAAAAAAAAAAATCATGGGTTTACGCTCTAATACACACAGTGTTGAAATACTCTTCCTGCCTGTGTCTCTGCACACATCAAAAACTGCTCCTTCCCCCATGGAGGAAAAGGAGGGGGGACAGGAAGCCATGTGCAGCCAGACCCACCAGAGGAGAAAGGTTGTGAAGAACATCTGCTTCAACGCAGGAGGAAAAAGAAAATCAAGTTCTCTGCTGCCACCACTTTTCCACACAACCTGTAAAGATCATCCTGATACCAACCCACTAGTGACACAGCTCCTGCATGGATACCCATGCTAAATAACCGCCTCTCCTGACTCAGGGATCAGGCTTCCCAGGCACTGCATCTGTGTCCCGAGGAGGGGCACATATAGAAGGAAACAAACCCTGTGCTGGGTTCCCGCCAGAGACAGGGGCTGCCTCACTCACCTGTCCCAAGTTGTCGAAGTTATACTTGTGGTGCACCCACTTGTAGTTGGCAGCCACGCAGTCGGACCGGTTGGTGATGTTCCTGATGTCGACTCCCAGGCAGTGGTAGAACTTTCCTTTGAAGAGCTGTAGGAGAGGAGAGACCCATCAGACCCTTTCCCCACAGGGTTCTCCATGCTCCCTGGGATGGGCAGAAGCTCCCAAGATGTTGTGTAGGCTGCAGGGCTGCAAGCCACATAGAGCATGACAGGTAGGGTGGACCACCAGTGCAACACAAAGCACAAGCTCAAACATTGCTAAGGAGACGGGGCCACCCTCATAAACCTGCACCTGGGTTTTCAGCCTCCTCTACTGCCTCAGGCTAGCAATGACTATCATCTGGCAGCCTTTAGTGCAGCCTTTTGGGGTACAATTAGAGCCACCAATCTATCCAGTCTCCAGGAGTAATCTTCCTTCCCTGCTTCCCAGTTACTGAGAGAGCTGATGGGAAAAGAGCTCATCTGAGGGTAAAGAACCAGAAAAAACATTCCCTGCTTCTTAGATACTTTTTTCACAAAGCTGCACTGCACTGCACTGCTGTCGCTCTTCTGCCCAGGGCTCCTTTCCCCGTATGGAAGGTACTGGATTGTGCATTTGTACAGATGCATCAGAGCCGACTAAGTATAGCGCATTCCCTGAGATGGAAGTAACGCCCACACCCTTGCTCCTCTGCAATGCAACAGCCGAAAATAAAGAGGATTAAATAAAAAAAAATAAAAGGTTGTGGGTGGATTTAGGGCTCAGAGAGAGGGCGAAAATGGAGCTGACTGATGGCAGGGTTCATACAAGCAGGTACTGAGCAGCTTGCTCTTCTGGTATGACATGCACATGCCCAGTGAGCCCTGTGCTCTGCCAGTCTTGGACTCTCCCTGTAATGCTGACCAAACCCTGATCCAACTCCTGACAGGTGTAAGCATTAACTCCTGTCTTGCTCATCCAGCAACACCTGTACTCACTGCGTGCCTGGATGTTCTTGCCAAAGGCTGTGGGGACATTATGGTGGGACACAGCTCATGGAGGAGGGCAGATGCAGAACATGTCCTGGTTTGCCCATATTCCTGCTCTGCTTGGCTGCCTCTGCCTGTTGTAGTATGTGGGGGTATAGGCACCCATTGTAGGGGGACAGGTGCTGTTTAATGGGCAATAACAACCTACCTGCACACCCAGGATGCCAAAGATGATGAAGAAAGCACAACAAATGAGGACAATGTTTCCTATGGGCTTGAGGGAAGAAATCAGTGTCTCCACCACCAGCTTCAGGCCAGGGGCTCTGCTGATGACTCTGGAAGAGAAGAACAGGAAGGGATGACAGATGGACAGGGCAGGGATGTTTGGCCTAAGCTAAACATTTTAAGCAGCAGCAGTGGATCCCCACTCTGCCTGTTCAGTGACCCATCAGTAGGGATCATTATCCTGTGACCAAAAAGTCTCTTCTGTCCCATGGGTTGGTTGCCTGATCAGCTACCTCCAAGGCCAGAGCCATAGTACTAAGGGGAACCTCCCTAAAGTTTATGGCTTGTCAAAGACCACTTTTTGCCTAGCACAGATGGAGCTGACTCTGGGACCCTTCTGGGGGAGGCCCAGTGGGAAGAAGGGGGCTGAGCATGCTTGGTGAGGCTCTGACCGAAGGGGACGTAAAGTACGCAGCAGCCGGAGGACTCGCAGCACCCCCAGGATTTTGGCACCACCAGCAGAGGCCACCGAGACCACAATATCAATGAGAGACACGAAAACCAAGAAGCCATCCAAGATGTTCCAGCTGCTGCGAAGATAAGCCTGATCCCCAAAATACAGGCCTAGAGAGACTACCTGCAAGAGAAGGGAGAGGAGAGGGGGTTAATGGCTCCTTTCCATGTTGCCTGGTAGAGGGCAGCTGTAGAGAGAAGGGGAAGATGGACAACAGTTATCAACTCCACATGACACCGAAGTGTCATCTCATCTCTTTTTGTTTCACCTGGAAAGCTACGAAACAAAATGTCTTTGGGGAAAGCAGTGGCATGTAACTCCAGAAATAACAGGGCCATGGTGTCTTCTCACCTTTCCTCTGCTTCCCTGAGCAAAAGGACACTGTAGGGAACATGCAGGAAACCTGTCCCTGCCATACCACAGACCTGGGGCAAGTGTCCCAGACCAGAGATCACCTGGAAGGTAAAATCGGGCATAACCCGTATTTTGGTTCTTGAGGGGGTAGTTTAATTCTCAGCAGTTCTCAACACCAGCAAGTGCTATAGAAACAGCTGGGCTTGGGGAGAGCTTAATACGCTGCAAATCATGGCCATAATTCAAGTATGAATTTTAGGGGTTTAACTTCAGGTGCC